ATCCACCTGGCCCTGGAGATTTTTTCCTAGGGAGTTCATCAATGGCTTGTTCAATTTCTTTTCCTGAGATGGGGTTATTTAAGTATTTTGCTTCCTCTTCTGTTGATCTGGGGAATTCATATTTTTGTAAATATTTATCCATTTTACTAAGATTGTTAAATTTATTGCCATGCAGTTGGGCAAAATAGCTCCTAGTTATTGTTTTAATTTCCTCTTCCTTGGTGGTGGATTCATCCTTTTAATTTTTGTCAATCACCTTTTTTTTTTGGCAATTGGGGTGTGTTTTTGTTTTGTCAATCAACTTGGGGTAGCTGGTGTCACCTGTCAGGTGTTTGCTCTGAGGCCGGATTTGAATTCTGGTCCTCTTCCTTGGTGGTAGCTTCACCCTTTTCATTCTTGATACTAGTAATTTGGTTTTCTTCTTTCTTTTTTTAAATTAAATTAACCAAAGTTTATCTATTTTATTGGTTTTTCATAAAACCAGCTCTTAGTTTTATTTATTAGTTCAATAGTTTTCTTAATTTCAATTTTATTAATTTTTCCTTTGGTTTTCAATATTTCTAATTTAGTGTTTAGTTGAGGATTTTTAATTGTTCTTTTTCTAGTTTTTTTAGTTGTATGCCCAATTCATTGATCTCCTCTTTTTCTATTTTATTTATGTAAGCATTTAGAGATATAAAACTTCCCCTAAGAACTGCTTTCACTGCATCCCATAAGTTTTGGTATGTTGTCTCATTATTGTCATTCTCTTGAATGAAATTATTGATTGTTTCTATGATTTGTTGTTTGACCCAATCATTTTTTAGGATTAGATTATTTAGTTTCCAATTATTTTTTAGTCTATCTTTCCATGGCCCTTTATTACATATAATTTTTATTGCATCATGATCTGAAAAGGATGCATTTAATATTTCTGCCTTTCTGCATTGGATTATGAGGTTTTTATGTCCTAGTACATGGTCAATTTTTGTGTACATGCATGCTTAGAAAAAAGTATATTCCTTTCTATCCCCATTCAGTTTTCTCCAGAGGTCTATCATACCTAACTTTTCTAATGTTCTATTCACCTCCTTAACTTCTTTCTTGTTTATTTTGTGGTTAGATTTATCTAGTATGGAGGGGGAGGTTGAGGTCCCCCACTAGTATAGTTTTGCTGTCTATTTCTTCCTGTAACTCCCTGAACTTCTCCTCTAAGAATTTGGATGCTATACCATTTGGTGCATATATGTTTAGTAATGATATTACTTCATTGTCTATGGTGCCTTTTAGCAGGATGTAGTTTCCTTCCTTATCTCTTTTGATTAGATCTATTTTTGCTTTTGCTTTGTCTGAGATCAGGATTGCTGCCCCTGCTTTTTTTACTTCAGCTGAAGCATAATATATTCTGCTCCAGCCTTTTACCTTTACCCTGTATGTGTCACTCTTTTTCAAATGTGTTTCCTGTAAACAACATATTGTAGGATTATGGTTTTTAATCCATTCTGCATCCATTTCCATTTTATGGGAGAGTTCATCCATTCACATTCACAGTTATGATTACCATCTGTTTCTTTTTCTCCATCCTTTTCCCCCCCGTTTATGCTTTCCTTTCTCCTTTCTCCTCCCCACTAGTGTTTTGCTTTACCAGCCTCCTTCAGTCCCTCCTCCCTTATTATCCCTTTCCTTTTCTTCCCTTTACCCTTACTTCTTCCCTCCCTTTTCTCCCCCCTCCCTTTTCTTTCCCCTTTTCCCTCCTACTGCCTATAGGGCAAGTTAGATTTCTATACCTAACTGATTATGTTATTCCCTTCTTGAGCCAAATCTGATGAGAGTAAGGTTCAAACAATGCTCCCCCCTCCTCTTTCCCTCTGCTGTAATAGGATTTTGTGTCTTTTCCTGTAATGTAATTTACCCTTGTCTGCCTCCTCCTTTCTCAGTACATTTTCTAAGATCAGATTATCCACTTATTTGGATCCATTTAACCCACTTGATTAGATTTTTTTTATCATTACATCAAAGTCAACTAATATCCACCCTCTTTATGTATACTCCTTTAACATGGTGTAATAACAATACAGTTCTCAAGAGTTGCAAGTGTCATATTCCCTTGTAGGGATTAAACAGCCCCCTTATTAACAACATGTATCTTTCTGTCCCATTTACCTTTTTATGTCTTCTTGAGTCTTGTACTTGAAGATCAAATTTTTTGTTGAGCTCTGGTCTTTTTATCAGGAAGTTTGGAAGTCCCTATTTTGTTGAATATCCATCTCCTCCCTTGAAAAATGATGCTCATTTTTGGGGTGGTAGTTGATCCTTGGCTGCATTCCAAGCTCCTTTGCCTTTGGAATATCATGTTCCATGCCCTGCGTCTTTTAATGTAGAAGCTGCAAGGTCCTGTGTAATCCTGACTGTGGTTCCATGATATTTAAATTGTTTCTTTCTGGCTGCTTGCAGCACCTTCTCTTTCATCTGGTAATTTTGGAATTTTGCATTGTCAATTTGGGATCTCTTTCAGGTGGTGAGCGTGTATTCTTTCTATGGTTATTTTCCTTCTGGTTCTAGGACTTCAGGGCAGTTTTCCTTTATGATTTCCTGAAAGATACTGTCCAGGCTCTTTTTTTCATCATGATTTTCAGGTAGTCCAATAATTTTTAAATTGTCTCTCCTGAATCGATTTTCCAGGTTGTTTTTTACCATGAGGTATTTTACATTTTCATCTATTTTTTCATTTTTTTGTTTCTGTTTGACTGATTCTTGCTCTCTCATAGAGTCATTAGTTTCCATTTGTCCAATTCTAGTTTTTAACAGATTGTTTTCTTCTGTTAGTTTTTGTACTTCCTTCTTCAATTGGCCAATTGTGTTTTTTAGGGACTTGTTTTCTTCAGTGTATTTTTTTCCAATTGGCCAATTGTATTTTTAAGGACTCTTCTACCTCTCTCATTTGACTTTAAAATCCTTCTTGAGCTCTTCTAAGAAGGCTTTTTGGGCTTCAGACCAGTTCATATTCCCTTTTGATGTTGCAGATGTGGGTTTGTTGACAATGTTGTCCTCTTCAGAATTTCTGTCCTGATCTTCACTCTTCTCATAATATGAATCTATAGTACATTTCTTTTTACTCATGGTGTTTCTTTATTCCCTGGCCTTTAAAGAGATTGAGCTCTCCTGCTGAGAAACAGAGGGCACTGACCCAAGCTTCTTGTGTTGGGAGCCTAGGTCTTGGTCACTGGCTTTGTGTGCTGGGGCCTCTTATGTTGGCAATTGGAGGCTGTAGGGTTCTGGCAGCTTACCTCATGTTGGGCTGGAATCAGCAAGGCTGGAACTTTCAGGCAATTCTAGATTGCCTGCTTTTCCTTCCCATCAGCTTTCTTCAGCTCCTTTTAGATGGGTGCTTCAGGGTGTTTATCTGCCTGGGGAAAGGGCCCATGATCTTATCTAATGAAGTGGACTTCAGAACTTGCTCAAGATCTGAGATGCATCCTTCTTCTGGGACCTTGTTTTTATTTGGTTTGATACCAGATAATGATTAAGATTAAAGTGAGCAGAACGAGAGAACATTGCATACAGTAACAGTAATTCAGAAGAGTTTGGGCAAATTAAACATTCTATTACAAACACAAAATTAAAAATAGAGGGCATATAAAGAAAAACACTATCTAAAGCCGGGGAAATAACTGATAAATACTAGCATGTATTGAATAATTTACATATATGTATTTGTGTGTGTATAGTTGTGAATAATCGTAGCTATCTCTAGGGCTGGTGGGGTGTGGAGGAAAAAAAAAAAGAAATTTCCATGATAACTTTGTTGTATATTTGGAGGGAATAGGAAGTTGTACATGGTAGATTTGCAATTTCATGTGTAATCACCTTTTTTATTGTACTCTTATGGAAATGCTTGTTTTGTTCCCTGAATTGAAAATAAAATATCTTTTTTTAAAGGTAAAACACAGTTTCTAATCCTAAGTAGGTCACATTCTAATGGAGGAGATAACATGCAAATCCTTTTGTACATATAAAATGTATGTATTATGTACAGAATTGATATATGCACATATCCATTTGGTGTGGGGCTTCCCCATCCTCCGATTCATAAGTTCTCTACTTTGTTTGGTCTCTATGTCCTTTGGATTTAAGTAAGTCTTCCCAAACTCCATTCAAGATGAAAGGAATTAAATTCTAAAGATTTCCATGGCTGCACAAATAAGTGACTAAAAAAATTTTTTTTTATTTTTTAATTAATTAATTTGTTTTTAGTTTTCAACAATCACTTCCATAATCTTTTGAGTTTTCAATTTTCTCCTCCTCCCTCCCCAAGACAGCTTGCAATCTGCTATAGGCTCAACATATACATTCCTATTAAACATATTTTCACCTTAGTCACTTTGTAAAGAAGAATTACAACCAATAGGAGGAACCACAAGAAAGAGGAAACAAAACAAAACAGAAGAAAAAAAAGAGCAAATAGTCTGCTTCTATCTGCATTCAACCTCCATAGTTCTTTCTCTGGATGTGGATAGGATTTTCCATCATGAGACTTTTGGAGATGTCTTAGATCCTTGCATTGCTGGGAAGAGCTAAGTATAATAAAATTAGTCATTGCACAACATGGCTGTTACTGTGTACAACATTCTCCTGGTTCTGTTCACTTCACGCAGCATGGTAAAAAACAAAAATAATTATTTTTTTTAAAGGATATATCACTTATACCAGTTCTGATAAGGAAGATATTTCCCATTACCCTCTCTCATTCTCCTCCACAGAACCACCTACCTCACAGATAGAACACAAACTTTCTCCCTGATTCCACAGGGAGATGCATTTCAGAGGAAAATATTTCTCAGCTTTATTCCAACTGATCACATAAAATGCTTTTCTCAAAATCCAGTTGGGCTCTTAATGACCATGGCCATACAGGGTATGAGAGTCTTTGTGCTTCAGTTTTATTCTGGAAATTAATGAGTGATGGACTCTTTTAATCTGAAATGTCCTTCAGCTCTATATCTATGCTTTTATTGATTTAGGGGTTGGTGACATTCAAGGATGTGGCTGTGGACTTCACCCAGGAGGAGTGGGGCCTCTTGGACCATCCTCAGAAGGAGTTGTACAAGGGAGTCATGCTGGAGAATGCCCAGAACCTGCTCTCCCTAGGTAAGGATGCTTCCCCTGGCAACGCTGAGTTTACAGTCAAAGGAATATCTTCATTCCCTAGTGTGCAGAGTTTGGAGCATTTATCAATTATTAGAGAGAGAAAAGTGTTGGTGTCCTGTGTCCCAGACATAGGGTCCTCTTGCTGCCTGGTTTTCCTATAGAAATTCTTTGCATTGTGTGATAGGAATCTGAGGGTTTCTTTTGTTGCTCCTGGAGCTGTCATTTACCACCAAAATACTGTGGAAGAATCTCAAACACAGAACTAATCTCTGGGGTTGTTCAGTCTAACCTCTACCTGGGCATGAATTTTGTCTGCCAACTATCTGAAAACTGCTCAGGCAGCTTTCCCCTACCAGGTCTTCCTCTTTGGGATGGGTCTAGCATTTGGCATATTCTTCTTTTAACAATCATCAATTTGTAGCTCACAGCTTCTAGTTGTCCCTCGTATAGAAAGTTTGTCCTTAAACTTCCTTCCTATTTCCCTCCAATTCCAGCAGAGATGGTTGGAAAGGCAGGGGAGAGAATAAGCACTTGTTTTCACCCAGTATCTGCCATGTGCTGGGCCAAGGGCTTTCTTTACAATATTGTGTCACTTCATCCTCATAACAACCTTCCAAGTTTGGTGATATTATTCTCTCTATTTGACAGTTGAGGAAACTGAAGCAAATGGAGGTTAAGTGGCTTGTCTAGGGACACACAGCTAGTAAGTGTCTGAGGCAAGATTTGGACTCTGGGGCATGCCTCGCTCTAGACCCAGGGCTCTCTCCACTGCATCATCAGCTGCCTCAAATTTCTAGAGAATGAAAAGCGTGCAATGAGTTCATCCTTCTGTGAAGTTGAACCAAGACCAAATTTTCAGATTCCAAACTTGGTTCGTTGATCTTCTCCCCACCTCTCCCAAAGCTCAGAAAACAAATGCTATGAGACTATACTTCAAGAGTCTGGGGAGCCATCCTGGGACCCTTGCTTGCATGTTCCTGGCATTGCCAGGAATAACAGAATAGTTGAGAAGTAGAATTTGAACCAACTAGGGTTTCTTGAGTTTGCCAGCAGGAGAGTCTCACCTGAAGAGGCACAAACTCCCCAAATAAATAGTCCACAAGGCTTCTATAGGTTTCAAGAAGTGAGGAACAGGGGAGAGGAGAGTGCAAAAGCGGGTTCATCAAGGTTCCTGTTTCTGAGGCTTGAGGCTGGTCTTGCACAATAATCCTTTTTGCCAGTTTTGGAATCAGGAGTTTCTACCAGAGTGGAACTTGACAGGATGGGGGGCAGATATTTGGCTCTTTCTCAGAACAAGTTGTACAACAGGATAATGTGGCATATCCTATTTGGGTTACATGCATCACAATCCCTAATGGGTGAATACAAACTCACATATGTGAACATAATACAGTGAATTTCAAAATAGAGCAGCTTTGGGTCTGAATGCCTTTCCCTAAAGAGAACTAAATTACAAGTTTCTCTCCATGCTCATCCCTAACTGATTCCCCATCCCCAGGGCTTCCAGTTCCCAGAGAAGATGTGATGTGTTATTTTGAGCAAAGGGAAGCACCATGGATGCTGGAGCAAGAAGTCCTGAGGAGCCACTGCCTAGGTGAGTGAGGTGAAAACAGGTAAGTGACAACTGTGATGACAACAATTCTACGTGTTAGAGTGAAGCAAGTGCTCAGTTTGGGGCAGGAAGACCTGATATGGAATTCTTTCTTGGATATTTCTTAGCAGTGGCTTCCTGGGTCAGTCACTGAACCACTGAGCCTCAGTTTCTCCACCTGTAAAATGAGGGATTTGGACTCCATGGCCTTTCAGCTTCCTTCCAGAGATATTTCTACACATTCACTGAAGCTGCACTGAATGATTAACCCATGTTGGCAACCAAATCTTTGAGAAGCTGCCAGATAGAAGAAGAATAACATGAACACGGAAGATCAAATTAGAAAATAACCTTAGCATTTCAATTTGTGGCATTTTGAGGTCTGTTTTTGTAAAAAAAAAAAGTTGTGGTGGTCCATGATGGTTTCATGATGACCTCTACTGTGCATTCTTAGTGATCATGGTTTTCAAATAGCCTGCCCTGATTGCTGCAAGAATGCAAACTCAAGTGAGATCTTGATCTGGGGATTCCAGGTTTGATGAGATGTGATTACAAGGTAACACATGAATGAGAAAATTGCTCACGTGCAGTGATAGACAGCCACTGCTGGTCTTTGCGTTCCTGTGACCATTTGCACACGAATGTCCAACCTTCCTGGAAATTTGGAAACAGTTTGATGTCAAGTTGAGAAACTTAAAGAACATGTTGCCCTTAGAAGCAATCAGAGTTTGAGGTGCTCACTGCACGATCCCCAAAAGCAGTGCATCTGATCATGAGAGTTTGGAATCACTGCAGAAAGACCACTGTCAAGGTTGAAACATGCACACACTGTTGTCCCAGAGGATAAATATCTTTGTAACCAAATTGGACAATTATTTACAGCTTAAGGTAGCACTGACAAATCTTTAGCTCAAATCTGTTGGACCACTGTCACAATCCTTCCAGGGGAAGGGGTGCAAGAGGACCAATAGTGAAATACTCTGGCCACTTCTGTACAAAAGGATGATAAACTCAATTCTTGTATTAGACACATTTTCAGACATGGGCAATACCATGCATTTTTTCCATTGTCTTTTTAGAAGGATTTTAATTTTACTTTAGTGAGCAGAGGCTTTGAATGATAAACTTTTAAAAAGAAATAAGAAATGGTTGTCTAAAGAAATAATGAGTCAGAACAAAACGTCTCAGGCAAATACCAAAAAAGTGTTGGTATTCTTCATGTGACCTCAAATAATGCAACAGAAAAAATAAGATTGAAAAGAAATCACATTATGTTTACGGGTAGGATAGATCATGAAATAATTTGAATATTTAATATACGTGCACCAAATGGCATTATGGATATGAAGAAATGATTGAAAGTGTAGAAAATGAAAGGGAAATATAAGGCAAAGATTGAAAGTGGAGATCATTTGTCTAGCACTGTGAACAGAGCACACCCATTCACAGAGTTTGGATTCTAGTCTCAGCTGCTGGGATTTAGGTCAAGTCACTCAGTCTTTCTGAGCTTATGGTCTGAGTTGTGAAAGTGATGAGAATGATGGCCCTATCTGTGTCACAGGTTTGATGTGAGGATCCAATGTGATTATGCATTTTGTAAATTAAATCACCCTTGGTATGTGAGCTAATGGCATTTTAAAATAGTTGTTTCCACCCTTTTTAAGATTTTTCTCTTTCCCAGGGGCAAAAAAAAGTAACCAAGCTTATATTCTGCTGATGGAGGGAAGCAGATATAAATATGTGTATTGTGTCTTTTTGTTTTATTGTTGGATTTTTTTTCAGAAGGACAGAACAGACTGGAAATGAAGGAAACTACTGCAGTGCTAACCCTTTCTGTGGAAGAAACTCATAAACAAAGATTGATGAGCTATGGTCCCTCTGATTTCAATTGTAGAGAAATCTGTGCAACAAATGAGAGAATCCACACTGCAGAGAAATTTAATGATTGTAAACAATGTAGAAAGGGTTTTAGAGAGAGGAAATATCTTATTGCACATGAGAGAACCCATCCCGGAGAGAAACTTCATGAATGTAATCAATGTGGAAAGGTTTTTAAATGGTGGAACAGTCTTACTCTACATCAGAGAATCCACACTGGAGAGAACCTGTATGAATGTAATCAATGTGGAAAGACTTTCAGATGTAGGAAGAGTGTTGGTGAACATCAGAGGATCCACACTGGAGAGAAACCGCATGAATGTAATCAGTGTGGAAAGGCATTTAAAAATAGGGCTCATCTTATTGTACACCAGAGAACCCACACGGGAGAGAAATCTTATGAATGTAATCAATGTGGAAAGTCTTTTACATGGAAGGATAGTCTTGTTCAACATCAAAGGATCCACACTGGAGAGAAACCTTATGAATGTAATCAATGTGGAAAGACTTTTAAATGGTGGAATACTGTTACTCGACATCAGAGAATCCACACTGGAGAGAAACCTTATAAATGTAATCAATGTGGGAAGACTTTTACATGGAAAGATGGTCTTGTTGAACATCAGAGCATCCACACTGGAGAGAAACCTTATGAATGTAATCAATGTGGAAAGACTTTTAGATGTAGAAAGAGTATTGGTAAACATCAGAGGATCCACACTGGAGAGAAACCTTATGAATGTAATCAATGTGGAAAGACTTTTACATGGAAGGATGGTCTTCTTAAACATCAGAGAATTCACACTGGAGAGAAACCTTATGACTGTAATCAATGTGGAAATGCTTTTAGATTGAAGAGATTTCTTATTGCACATCAGAGAATCCACACTGGAGAGAAGCTGTATGAATGTAATCAATGTGGAAAGACTTTCAGATGTAGAAAGAGTATTGCTAAACATCAGAGGATCCACACTGGAGAGAAGCCTTATAAATGCAATCAGTGTGGAAAGACTTTTATATGGAAAGACAGTCTTGTTAGACATCAGAGAATCCACACAGGAGAGAAACCTTATAAATGCAATCAATGTGGAAAGACTTTCAGACATAGGAAGAGTATTGGTGAACATCGGTGGATCCACACTGGAGGGAAACCTTATGAATGTAATCAGTGTGGAAAGGCTTTTAAATGGAGGGCTGGTTTTATTGCTCATCAGAGAATCCACAATGGAGAGAAGCCTTATGAATGTAACCAATGTGGAAAGGCTTTTACTCGAACAGGCGGTCTTACCCAACATCAGAGAGTCCACACTGGAGAGAAGCCTTATGAATGTAATCAATGTGGAAAGGCTTTTAAATGGTGTACCAGCCTTACTCTACATCAGAGAACCCACACTGGAGAGAAACCTTATGAATGTACCCAATGTGGAAATGCTTTTAAGCAGAGGAATCATCTTATTGTACATCAGAAAACCCACACTGGAGAGAAACCTTATGAATGTACCCGATGTGGAAAGGCTTTTAAGCAGAGGAATCATCTTATTGTACATCAGAAAACCCACACTGGAGAGAAACCTTAGGACTGTAATCAATGTGGAAAGGCTCTCAGTTCCAGCTCCAAACTTGCTCAGTATAAGAGAATCCATACTGGCAAGAAACTTTAAGAAAGTAATCAATGTGGTAAAGCCTTCAGCTAAAGTCAGTTCTTGTTTACCATCAGAGAATTCATGGGAAATATAGGAATCAAATAACTGACCCGAATGAGAAAAGGCGTTGAAATAGAGTACAGAGCTTCTTAGAAAAAGATTCACTCTGAGTGTAAGCCATCTCTGGACTCCATGTGAGAAGGCTTTAAGTCAGAGATTATCTCTCATTCTTTCATCGGAGGATTTATAATGAAAAGAAACCTTAGGAATGTGCTCAGTGGGTACATGCCTTTCTCTAGAACATGGAGGTCACTGGTGAAGGTTAAATTTTGAGTCTGACTATAACAGAAAGGTGAGATAAGGAAAATAATCTATGCCCATCCTCCAGGTTGCGAAACCAAAAAAGGAGGCAGTGGGCCCATAAACTGCAGAGCTGTGTGAGAGAATCCATCTGGATGTTCTCAGAAATAGAGTGCCTTCAGAATAAGGAAAAGACCTTGGGTCAATATTGTGTCCACTGAGGAACAATCTTTGGTGAAGGGAAGACATCAGATTTGTTTGATCAAGGATATAAAAACTGGGGCAATTTAGGGGAATTTTGTGTTCTCCCACAGGCCACCTACATGCATGTATTCATCTTCCACCCAGGCCACTAAATGTGCTGTCAAGAAACTTCTCATTAAGCTGAGATCATTTCTGCCTCCTAATTTTTGTGAGGCAACAATCATTGGGATGAGGCAGGGATCCCCATGATGGACATGAGGCAGGGCAGAACCACTGTGTGAACAAAGCAGCCGCTGCTAAGCAGGTCAGAGGCCTGGCAGTTTCTATCTCCAAAGCCTCAGTTCGATGTCTCAGGCATCTGGGCTGCTTGTCACATGCTGTCTATGAATGGGTGAAGGGCTCAGGTCCTGATGACAGCACCCTCATCAGAAGAATGGTTTCCAGTTCAGAGACCAACAGGTTGGACATAAGGGAGCCATTCAAGAGGCATTGTGGTAAGTCTCCATATCCTCTCACCAAGGCAAGTCAGAAGAGTCTTGCTTTGCCAGAAAAGGCAAACACTGGTAGGAAGTCAGGTTTCTAATGAAATTCATCTGGAGTCTAATGAGGACCCAAGCCACCTTCTTGTTCCCTTGTCACTGAATTTATCACAGAATCTTGAGTTGGAAGGGCCCTCAGAGGCCATCCAGTCCAAACTAATACCTGCAGAGGCCTCTCTTTGAAAACCTTTCTGCTTGAAGACCTGCTAGGAAGGCAGCCCATTATTAGGACACTGTTCATTCTGTCAGGCTGAACTCTGCCTCTTGTAGCTTACACTCATTGGTTCTATGTGTTGTTTCCTTCTTTGAATGTAAAGGCTTTATTTTTTGTTGGAGAGAATGTGGTAAAATTGGAATGCTGATACATTGTTGGTGGAGTTGTGAAATGATCAACCATTTCGGAGAAAAATTTGGAACTATGCCCAAAGGGTTACAAAAATGTGCATACCCTTTGATCCAGCAATAGCACTTCTAGGGCTATATCCCAAAGAGATCAAACAAATGGGAAAAGGACCCATATGTACAAAAATATACATAGCAGCTCTTTTTGTGGTGGCAAAGAATTGGAAATTGAGAGGATGCCCATCAATTGGGGAATGGCTGAGCAAGTTGTGGTATATGAATGTAATGGAATACTATTGTGCTGTAAGAAATGATGAACAGGCTGACTTCAGAAAAACCTGGAAAGACTTATATGGTCTGATGCTAAGTGAAGTGAGCAGAACCAAGAGGACTTTGTACACAATAACAGCCACATTATGCAATGACTAAGATTGTTAAACTGAACCTTTCTCAGCATTATGAGGAGCTAAGACATTTCCAGAGGCCTTGGATGGATAATGCTGTTCGCATTCAAAGAAAGAACTATGGAAGTCGAATCACTATCACTTATTTTTACCTTCTGTTGAGTTTTGTTTCATCTTTCTGATGGTTCCTCGTATTGGTTTTAATTTGTACTTACAACTTCACTAATGTGAAAATATGTTTAATGGGTATGTAAATGTAAAGCCTATATCAGATTGTGTGCTGTCTTGGGGAGGGTGGGGAGGAGGAAAAGGGAGAAAAAATTTCAACTCAAAAGCATATGGAAAAAATAAAAAAAATTTAAATTTAAAAAAAAGGCTTTATTTTTTTTTTTAATTTTGGAGGCAATGGGGGTTAAGTGACTTGCCCAGGATCACACAGCTAGCTAGTAAATGTCTGAGGCTGGATTTGAATTCAGGTCCTCCTGACTCCAGGGCCAGTTCTCTATCCATTGCACTATCTAGCTGCCACCCAATGTAAAGGCTTTAAAAGAAAGAAATAACATAATTAGGCAAAGAATATTGGGAGAGGATGTGGCAGTGCTGATGCCTTCCATAATTTGCCTGTTCTAACTATAACCCTATGGAGTGGGAGAGGAAGGGGAAATAAAAGATTGCTTATATAATAGATAGCTTCTTAGGCATATTGGATCCTTCCTTTCCACGTGGTCACCTACTTGAAAGGCAATATAGTGGAATAGATGTGAGGTCAGAGGACATGGGTTGAAATTCTTCTGGTTTAATATCTCTGTGACTTTGGAAAAGTAATTTAACTTAACTGGGTCTCGTTTCCCTCATGTGAAAAACTGTTGATATCAGACTAGGTGATCTCTACGATCTCTTCCAGCTCTACATCCCTTGATCCGGTGGGTCTCAGAAATCAAAGGGAAGTTTAAAGATGAACCCAACCCCACCACCACTTAATGCTGGAACCTCAGCTGCAGGTTAGGGCTAATGCCACAGATGACTTCACTGAACCTTCTGGGTATGACTGGCGGTTTAGAGAGGTATCAAGACGGGCAGTTTTAAACTAGATCTTTGTTGAGTTAGTAAACTTGCATGTCATTGCTAACTGAGAAGCTCTTTCTGTGCAACCAGTGAAGTAGGTTTCTTGCCATATTTATTCAGTAGAAAATATAAGATGCTTTTAAGAATGAAAAGTTTCAAGTCTGAGGTTAAACCTTACATCCATCAAGTTGGCAGAGATAACAAAAGATACCAATAGTGTTAGGAGGCTGTAGAATTGGAAGCACAGTAACACAATATCTGTAGTTGTGAATTGGGCCAACTATTCTGGAAAGTCATTTGGAATTATGATTTATTAAAAGGTCATCAAATGCCCATGCTGTGTGAAACAAAGACCCCACTGCAAGACATAAATTCTCAGGACATCAGAGAAAGAAAGGTTTGATCTACACTAAACTATTCATTACAGTGATTTTTTTTGGTAGCAAAAAATGAAGTAGATACAAAAGAGAAATAAAATAGATATTCATCAATTGGGG